GGGATGTATTGGCGAAAGTACAGTGGACTTTCTGCAATGGCGAAAGTACAGTGGACTTTCTGCAATGGCGAAAGTACAGTGGACTTTCTGCAATGGCGAAAGTACAGTGGACTTTCTGCAATGGCGAAAGTACAGTGGACTTTCTGCAATGGCGAAAGTCCTATTGGCGAAAGTCTTATTGGCGAAATTCCGGAACCCCAAAAAATAGCGTTATTGTACGAGGGAGTGTATTAAGCAGGTACCCATGCTTCACACCCGAGAGACCAAATTATTGGACATCCGTACATGTTTTCCAACACAGGCACGGTTTATGGCAACATCTTTGTGTCAATAGACATTCACTATCGTTTGTGCAACATTTGGGCGTTCCACTTTCGCAGCTTCGTTGCTGTATGTCACCACCGCAAACAACAAAGCATCTGTACGGCGGATAAACAGGACATTGACCTAAAAAGTAAACAGACATATTTATCAGTGAAAAATAATGAACTCACGACTTTGATCGTCAATTTTTGGGATAAAACCATATACCGCATACATTTGTTGTATGCAGGCTAAAGCGAAAAGAAATAGGAAGCAACGCATTTCGCTGATGTTTAAATCGAATGAAAGAAAATAAAGTAAGCACCATAATATTTGTCAATACTTTACTGTTCCTCCTTCATAAAATTGCCTATTATGAATAATTACGCATGAAAGAGGAATATGTAAAGTATGATTGTGTCTAAAACTTGTTATGTATGGCCAGTACACATCAAATCCCAGGTATATATTTGGTGTGATGGATCTCATACACTCATAAACGTTATGAACGATACTCACATAAGCAGGAACTGTTAGTTTATTGCAATCGTTTTTGAAATTTATGCATGATATTCATCAATGTAATTCGCAATTACTATGTAAAAATGATCAAAGTTATTTAAAGAAAGTAAAGGAATTTGACAAAATTATAAATTTGAAAAAACTAGATAGTATTTCATACTGTAAGGGTGTGGGATGTGGGTTTGGGAGTGGGTGTGCGTGTGCGTATGTGGGTGTGGGTTTGGGTGTGGATGTAGGTTTGGGTGTGGGTGTGGGTTTGGGTGTGTGGTGTGGGTGTCAGAGTGGGTGTGTGGGTGTGGGTGCCGGTATGGTGTGGGGTGAGTGTGGGATGGGGATGTGGCTGTGTGGGTGTGGGCGTCGGACTGCAATATTTCTCTTTAGCCTCACGCACACCTCACCGACACCTCATCCACACAACAACACCCCACACCCCACACCCACACCCTTGAAACAAGTTCCAATTACGGTAATGACTCGTATGAATGATCATAATCTAGTTTTAATTTACGATGCATAATTAAAAACATTTAAAATTTTATTGTTTAAAAGATTTTAAACAAAATATCATACAAAGAAACAAATTGATTATTGAAGAAGGAAAAGTGTGATCGATTCTTTTCTGCTATCGTAAAACATTACTTATTGATTATATATATAGTGAATCTAAAGAAGTTTTTATATATAATAAATTTTTTGATTGTTCCTGTTCTCTATCATCTGAGTAACATTAGTTTTGAACAATAACAATACTATTCTTGTAAAAAATGTTAATTCGTTAACTGAAATCACGTAAGTAGATATATGATATTGGTGAAGAGAATGCTTTAGCCTGTTATTTACAACGCTTTCGAAATCCAGCGTATAATTATGAAAATTAGTTCTATTCACTTGAAATCTTCGCCATTCTAAAAATTTCTTTCTTTCATCGTGGCAATTTCGGTCTAGAAGTCTTCCTTCATATATTGAGTATTTCACATTAAACGAACTAATAAGATCTTAAGTAATAGAGTCACATCAAAAGAATATGGTTTTACATATACTAAGGGCGATCTGATCTGCACCCGTTAGTAAAATTGTTCTTCGCTTGTCGCAAAGTCCAATCGATAAGACAAGTTTTAAAAAATACCACATTGACACGAAGACTTGTTACAATACTCAGGTGTGTTACCTTATCAAATTTTTGTTTTCTCTTAACTAAATTGGTTTCATAAGTTGAATCTTTCATTAAGATTGAAGACATCATCTGCAATTGAAACAGCAATGAATATAAGTAGATAAAGAAACAAGCTAATATAGGTTCATTCTTTCTTTTCTTCTTATGTGATAAATCAAGATCAATCATGTAGACAAAGATGAATCCGTTCTCTATCATTAATCCAAGTACAGATGAAGAAATTTGTCAAGTAGAAGAAGGCACAAAAGTATCAATATATATATACATGATTATTTGGGAAGGTAACGATTCGTAACGGTTGGTTACGAAAGCCCAGTAAGAAGCAGGGCTTTCGTAACAATGTAAAATGCATAAATCATAAAAAGCAGGGCTTTCGTATCGATTTTTGACAGGGCTTTCGTATCGTTTTAGACAGAGCTTTCGTATCATTTCTTAAAGAGCTTTCCTATCAAGTTTACAGGGCCTTCGTAACAATTTTGACAGGGTCTTCGTATCGGTCTTACAGGATCTTCGTACCGTTCTTACAGGGCTATCGTAACGTAAAAGGATTTGGTATGATCTTTCGTCAGATGTTGCTGACAGGATTTCATATTGAAATTAGTGATCTACCAAAATTATAACATAAATAGTTCAACAGTAGAAAGTGAGAACCAGAATATAAGTATAGACAAATTTTTATCTTCTTGTAAATCTCTTTCTTAGTAACAACAAAAAGTAACAAAAACCAGGCAATATATAAAGAGAGAAGAGTGAACGAGAACAATATCAAGATAATAGAATTAAGAATACACATAATTGATTTCCTCGATTTTAAGTCAGCAACTTTAACAAAAAAAAGGCGTACACAATTCTGGAAAAACATAGAGAACTAGAAATAACAACGACATCTATGAATGTATACAAATAATTCATTCACAGTATAGTACCATGTATTTGGACCATTTAAGTATATAAAACTTGTTACGAATGGATCTCACTTAATGACTTAAGCGATATTTGTAAGCATGGGTATTCGTAACGAATGCCCTGTTCTTTTTAGTACCAGTCTTTCATTTTAGTTATGAATGCAATAAGAACTTGATTACGAAAGCCCTGTCAAAAACGATACGAAAGCCCTGTATAAGTTTGATACGAAAGCCCTGTCAAAATTTGATACGAAAGCCTTGTCAGAATTTGTTACGAAAGCCCTGTCAAAATTCGTTACGAAAGCCCTGTAGTAAAAACGATGACAGGGCTTTCGTATTACGAAAGCCCTGTAAATTTCTCGTTACGAATCGTTACACCCCCGATTATTTTCGTTCTACGTGTAATTTTTATTGTTTCCAATATTGTAGAGTGATCCTGATAAAGCAATTGAAGCTGCTGAAAAAGGTTTCCAATATGATTCACCATGGCGTAAGTCTGATCCTGCTGCACATGCTCAGTTAATTTGTAAACGTGCTGATTTACTTCTACGTGTTGTGGATTATTTAGCAGTAAAAATGTTCACTCAGTTTTTTTGCATCTACATCATAAATGAATATTCAGAGATTAGAAACACTGAATAGTGAAAAACTGCTACAAGAGAGTTATTGCGAGATTCTTGGAGCAGGTGTTTGTCTTGATTATTGTAAGCCTTTCTGACATTCTCTTTGTTTTATTATCGATGATATTCACATGTTACAGATGTTGGATGGACTGATAAAATCACTGGTGAAACATTTCCATCAGAATCAAGTATTTTTATTACCTATATTAGACATGACCTAGTTGGAATCTATGAACAAATCATTTCATGGTCAGTTCAAACATTCAATAAATGAATATTCAAATTGTACTTTCTTCTTTCAGTGATTATTCAGTACGATATTCTTTCTTACATATGCATCATACAAAAGTATTGTTGATATTATATTTTGGACTGTTATGTTGGCCTTGAAACTTGGATCAGCATTAGTTTGTGGTGACTTCATTACTTCTATTAATTTACATTTTCTTATATATTGCAATAACAAATAGGCAATGTAGTTATTCTAAAACCAGCTGAACAAACACCACTTACTGCACTCTTTTGTGCTTCTGTCATCAGAGAAGTATTATTCATCATCTATCAACAATCGAAATTTACTCTAACACTAAATCAATAATCTAGGCTGTTTTGTCACCTGGTATTGTTAACAGTGTACCAGGTAATACACGTCACCAGAATGAAAACAACTCTTATAATGATATACATATGTAAGTCATGGACCTAACTGTGGTCATGGATGAAAAGATTAATAAAATAGCTTTTACAGGTTCATTCAAGGCAAGATTAGTGCAGATGAAAGCCAGAATAACAAAAGCACATCATATTTTGTTTTAGGATGGGAAAAAAATTCAAGAAACTGCAGGATAAACTAATCTAAAGCGTGTTTCATTGGAACTTAGGTAGTAAAATCATCTTTCTTATCTGTCTGCTTTGTTGCCTTCTTCATCACAGATAGGTAGTAAATCACTATTAATCATCTGTGAAGATACTGATCGTATATATTAAATAATTCTATTACTTCCATTTTCATTGTGCTTCCTAATGACAAAAAAGGTTTATAAACGATAGAATTAATTTGTTTTGCATGTTTTAGTCGATATTCCTGTTCGAACTGCTCATAGAGCAGTTTTCACTCATGCAGGTCAAGTATGTTTTGCTGCATCAAAAATATTTGTTCATTCCACACTTCACGATGCCTTTGTGTCTAAAAGTGTCGAATTAGCAAAGAAACGTATTGTTGGTGATCCATTTGATTCTTCAACTGAACAAGGACCATAGGTATAGGAAAGCATTTCAAGTAAAGTGTCATAATCTAAACTATGGAAAAAACATACTGATTGAGAATTCAGAAAACAATTTGACAAGACAACAGATTAGCATTGATTTCTTTTGTGTATTCTACAAAACAGTCATACTTAATTAGAAACAATTCTTGAATGTATTCGATCGGGTAAAAAAGTTGGTGATAAAGGTTACTTTACTCGACCTACTATTTTTACTAATGTAAAAGATGGTATGAAAGTAGCTCGTGAAGAAGTTTGTCTTTTTTTCTCTTTTCTTTATTTCATTGAAATCGTTTTCTTCTATTTAGAATATCTCTTGGTTTCAACTTATTTTCTCATTAGTCGATCCATCGGATATATTCAGCAACAGCATCGAAATTCTTATCTACATTGGAATCGAAATCATTGGTTGAATAATACAAATAGTTTAGGTTCGATGTAAGAAACTTAGATACAATGCCATACTTCTCTAACTTCTGACGGTGCTTGACTGCAAACGTAGGTCTCTCTACTAAGACATTGAACCTCATATGGTATCAAGTGAAACTTAAGACATCAAGTGAAACTTAAGACAAAAAATAGATCATGCAAATTGTACGCTACAGTCTATCCAAATGATTACCTTTTTATTTCTTTTTTTAATTTACTTTATGAGTACTAGCAGAGGGTCTACTAGAATACCAGACAACATGGCTGGAGTAAAATTTTTGATTTTGGATTTAATTATCTGAAAATAAAGGTCGTATATAGATATTACTAAATCCGAAATATTAACTCGATCTGATAATGATTCATTGAATTATGATATATACCATGGTAACAGGCCTTATAGAGTTATAATGCAAAATAAT